AATCTCAAGAGAAACAGGTAATTATAGGGATGGCCTCCAAGGTCAACGGATTAAAATATTTTCCTTTTTTAATAATTATATTTTTAACTTCCCGCTGAGAAAATCGAAGATTTTCAAAAATGGGGAAGTTATTGTTTTCACCCCGTTTTGCAAAAATCGAGTTTTCATCAGATCTCGACGTTTGAGGGTCACAGGAAGCTTTCCTGACTATCCCCGCGAGGTTGTCACTATGTCTGTATGTATGTGTGTGTGTGACTATGTGACTCGCTTATAACTTTTGATCGACTGAACCGATCGGACCGAACTAAACGGCGTTCTAAAGAGTTCCTTCAAACTTTTCAAATTTCTTGAGAATTTGAACCGATTCAGACCGATAGATTTTGAGAAATTTTGAAAAATCTCAAAAAAAATAAGAAAAAAAATCATTTTTGAAAGTGGTTTTTTAGGAATATCTTTTAAACGGCTCGATCGATCAACTTCAAAAACTAATCTGCCCTTAAGCTTGAAAAACCACGCCAATCATCGCTAATCCGGTCAAAATCGGTTGATTCGTTCGAGAGATATCATGAGTAAGGCCTGGTGACGTTGTCAAAACATTTGGCAACGCAGGTAGGCTCAAAGATTATGGGGATTACAGAAGACAAGTAACAAACGAACGAGACACATACAGGGATAACTAAATAATATTATAGCTCAACAGGCCTTGCGGCTACACCTCCCCGCATGGGCCCCGCTGGGCAACTGGTCGGATTGTCATTATATTACCGGCCAGGCCAACGTAGTCGTTGAATGGAGTTGTATAGGGGGTTTGATACAGTGAACAATTACGAGGACAGATACGAGTGACATTAAATTAAATTCAACTCTATTCACATTCTGTCCAGTGATAGCGTAAAAGCTGGAGGGCAGGGTTTTTCCTTGCTCGGCGAGTTGACGGTGCTTTTGTTTGGTGAGATTTGGGTTTTATTGTACGTGCGTGTATAGCTTTTTAAAGCTCAGGAAACAGCCTGTTCGAAAGGAGGTAGACGAAAGTCTCACCAAATAACTCGTTCGAGAGATATCGTGAACGAAAGAAAACCGAAAAAAGTGTTTTTTTGACATAACTTCGTCATTTTTTCTCGGATCATTTTTGATGATATAGAATAATTTCGGAGCTTAAAAAACCGCGTCGATCGCAGCCAAAAACGTAGAAATCGGTTGATTAGTTCGAGAGATATCCTCGATAAAATATTTGAAAACAATTGTTTTTTCAACATAACTCCGACATTTTTTGGAATAACTTTTAAACGGTTGCACTGATCAATTTCAAGAACTAATCAGCTATTACAATGAAAAAATTACGTCGATCGCCGTCAAGCCGGTCGAAATTAGTCAATTCGTTCAGGAAATATCATAAACGAAAGAAAACCAAAAAAAGTGTTTTTTTTAATTACTCCGAATTTCCTAGTTTTATCAATTCAAACTTGAAGATTTTTCATGAAACTAAAAAAATAGCGTCAAATACTGCCAACCGCATTCATTTGAAAGTTAGTGCGGTTTTGAAAATTAAAAAAATATTGTTCTATGATGCATCTATCAGACTTTTGAGCTCGAAGAGCTCAAAATAACACGTAAATTGTATTTTTCAGCTCGAAGAGCTCGAAAACATAATTAGTGCAGTTTTATGCACCTAGGTATGGAATTAGCGGGAAGTTGCACGGATGGCCTTCAGGGTCTACCGTTTTTCTAATTTTTTTAATTAATTAATTATTGGAAATTTGGAAACAAAGCAGAAAAATATTAATCCTTCAATATTTCTTAATAGTGGCTTTTAATCTTCATTTTCATCATCGTTGAAATTAGATAATCCATCATCCAGCCAATCTTGAAATTGAATATTTAAATCGTGATCGTCATCAGTAGCATTATCCTTATTTTCTTCTTCTGAAAAAAACAAGTTAAACAATAAAGGTCTGAAAAAACTAAGAGATACAAATAATATGAGAAACGAAAACAATTTACCTGATTGTTCTTCCAGCGACTCAGTGACAAAACCCGGTAATTGATCTCCATCGAACCAATGAAAATCATATTTACCATCTTGTAGTGTCCAGCCATTGTTTTCGGGGTTGAAAATATTTATTATCTTCATACTTTCATTGTTTCAAAGACTAGCGATATAGCTAGCCCGTCGAAACTGTTGCCAAAGCTCACTTTTACAAGGTGGTAAGTTACTGGCGTCGAAGTTTCTTAAATTCTTTCGATTAAATTCTTCATTTATATCAGATACCATGTATGTATTAATAAACAACTATAGTCTGGCAGCATCTACATCAATTATTCCAGGAACGTTGTAAAGATCACGGATAAATTTTTGTATTTTGTTAAATACACGTTCTTCTTTATCTACATCACCAACAAAATCCAACCTACCAAAACGGTGAAATGCTTGTTGGTACTCTTCATTTTTCTTTAAAATATTAAACGGCTTTTGCTTGCCCTTTTTGAATAATGCTGGATTAAAATCACATCCTGTGATAGCATGGAATGCTGGTAAACTTCGACGCAACGACGGTCGTAATTGTTCGTAGATAGCATTCAAGTCAACATCTCTGCTTGTTACCAGTGCCGGTCAAAATCCAAACTCGAGAATCATTATTTTTCAAATGATGCATATTTCCCAGCATTATCGCTGCTATATAAGTATCTGAACATCGTATCACAAAATTAGCCTGAGCATCGATGTTGCAAACATGGTATACGATCTTTGCATCGGCTTCCTCATGCTCGGAATACGATAAATCTTCATGGATTTCAGACATAACTTTATTGTTAATTACGGTGAAAGGTGGCATTGTCGAAAATTAATAAAAATTTTATTATTACCAATGAATGGAATCATCTCATCAGTAACCCAGTGTGTTATAAAAAATTCAACAAGAGAATGTTTGAAATCAGCGTTGCCAACTTGATGGGTTTCCCGTTAGATTTGACGGGTCAGCAAGGTCGGCACCGGGAAAAAATTGCACTTAACGGCCAACGGATTTTTCAGCGACAACAAAAATTTATAATTTTTAGATTTGTTTTCTAAATAAAAATAACTTGGACATGACAAATATTAAAATGTGATTTTATTTATTTTTTTAAGGTTACAAATAAGGAAAAATATGCAACACGTTCTTATCTTTCAAAATTAGAGAGATTAAATTTTTACTTGATGTAATTCTTTCAAATACAGTTCGAAAACTGTGTTGCCGTCGGTCGACCGTAATGATAGACTACTGTTGAATATATAGAAAACTATCGACGTCTCTATTTATTTCTTTCTTTCTCTTTACTATTTAAGTCGTATATCTTTGTCCGTATGATCATATGTACAGCGTCTAATCTACTTTCGTTATTGTTGTCGCTCCTATGGAATTCTAAAAATGATTCTTCCGTCAGCAATACGCATTTTTGATCTGTAATAAGAGTTTTTGTTGAATAATTGTAATTGCTCTCAATAAATATGGGAAAGACTGCTGGAAATCCTATTTATTAACAGAAGTTTCGCAACGAGTGGCTTCAAGATATTCAATGTAAGGATTGGATTGTGCGAAAAGAAACAAGTCCAGGAGAATTCGTGGCGTCTTGCAAATTTTGTATGTGTGTTGTAAGTAAAAATAATAAATACTCGGATTTAAAAAATCATATAGAAACAAAAAAGCACAAAAAACGGCAAAACATATGCTCACCGATGAGACAAAAAACCCTGCCTGTGATGAAAAAGTCAATTGAAAAAACAAAGGTTTGTGAGGCTTACATCTCACTCTTCATTGCTGAACATACCAGCATAGCGACTGTTGACCACCTAGGACAAATGATGAAAAAGGCTGTCAATGATTCTGACACTATAAAAGACATTCATTTACATCGAACTAAGTGTTCCAACATCATAAAAAATACTTTAAGTCCACATTTCCAAGAGACATTAAAGAATGACATTGGGACTGGGAAATTCAGTTTACTTTTAGATGAATCAACAGATATCAGCATTTCTAAATATCTCGGTATTGTGATTATTTATTATAGTTCAGCTTTAAAAAAAATAATAACAACATTTTTAAAACTAGCTGAGTTGAGCAGTTGTGATGCAAATGGAATAATTTCTGCTTTAAAAAATACTCTAACAGAGTTTAATTTAAACTATAAAAATATTCTTGGCTTAGGAACTGACAACGCGAGTGTTGTGACTGGTGTAAATGAAGGTGTCTACCAAAAGCTTAAACGTGAAATTCTCGGTTTGGTTCTGATTCGGTGTGTGTGTGTGTGTGTGTCATTCAATTCAACTAGCTACATGAAAAGCTGTCGAAGGAAATATGCCAAGGAATTTAGATTACATAACTTCTCAAACGTATAATTAGTTCTCTCAATCACCAGGCAGACGAGGTGATTATAAAACTTTGTACAAATTGATTAATGACAACCACGAACCTGCAAAAATAGTTCAAGCGTGTCAAACTCGTTGGTTATCGATACATTCTGCGGCTGATAGAATTTTAAATCAGTGGGTAGAATTAAAAACTCATTTTGACATAAATAGACATGAATATGTGGCAGAAATGTTATTTAATATGTACAGTGACGAGATAAACCTGGCTTTGTTTTTGTTTTTATGTCCATTTCTAAATGAATTACAGCGAGTGAATAAGGCTTTTGAAGCCCAAAATGCTGATCCTTGTAAACTCTTCCAAGATTTAACTACTTTGATTGGATTTTTCGTTTCTAAAGTCGTATTACAACGCACGTACACTGATCCGTTGACTGTTGATGTTGAAAATTATTTAGATCCAAATCCATATCTTGGTTCTGGTTTTGAATTGAAAATTATTGAGTTGAAAGAGAAGAAAGCTATAACAGAACAGCAAGAAAAAGAACTACGAGAACGGTGTATTAAATGTTTAATTAAATTGGCTCACGAATTACGCTCGAGGTATTTAAATATTAGGTACTTAAACATTTAACTGTGTATCTATTAATATTGATTATGGAACTATTCAATTTTCTTTAAAAAAATTGTAATTGCATTTTATTTTTACAGATTACCGGACAATGTTCAAATTTTACAAAAACCAAACTTATTAGCTTGTCAAAATGTACTGAAGGTTTACAAGGAATCTTTAACTCCTTTGCTGTAACATCTGAATTACTCATCGACAACTATATCGCTAATTGAAACCCAATGGAACGCCATTTACTTCACAAAATGGACCGAAATTAATGATACTATTCAATTTTGGACTGAGGTTAAAGAGTACAAAGATGCAACAGGAACAAATTCATTTCAAGAATTAAGTGATTTCGCCTTCTCTATTTTATTATTGCCGTATTCCAACGCAGAAGTTGAACGAGTTTTTAGTGCTATAAATCTTGTGAAAACTAAGCTAAGAAATAAAATGAACTCAGAAATAACAAATGCTCTTTTAACCATTCGTGCAGGTTTAAAGCGGTGTGGTAAAAATTGCAATACATATGAATTTCCTGATGATGTCCTTCAAAAAATCGGAACTATGCAAGCTTATCCTCAGTCGTCAACTTCCAAAGAACTTGAAAATGATGAGATTATCGAATTAATTGATTCAAATCTTTAACTTAAAGTTGAACGAAACCAAAGCAAACTTTTTAAAAAATTGCTTTGAAGTAACTGCAATATTATAAATATATATCTTGTTTATTATATTGACTACACCTTCCGTCTTCCGAATGTCACCTGGGACTTGTACAAACGTTGAAATTCCCGCTTGAAGTGGTGTAAATCTTGAAATGTTAACAGACAGGTTGAGAGTTTCAGACAAACTCCAGCCTGACTGATTTTCCTGAAGCTCGTCAACTTTTCTCAACGTTTGATTCACTACGCTTTCTTGGTACCATTCATGTAATGATGTTTCAACCAAGATTGTAGAGCTCTTACTTTGAAATGACTTGGTCTCTACAACAATAGCATCATTTTTATGGCATTCAAATCGACAAAGGAGCAGGGTGTTGACTTTTAGACTTCCATGCTGCTGCATGGCTTCTTGAACTTTCTTAATAACCAAGTTTTCAGCATCATTCAAGAAGGTCTTCAAGTCAGTGTGACGAAGATTGATGACGCTTCCCGTCTTGATTCTACCCTCAAATGCGCTCTCCATGTCCTGCCACTTGATGGCAGCAGCAGCAGCTCGATTGCCAAGGTCACCACCAACTACTCTATGGCTCAATCCTAAGAATTTTTCTCCATAGGTGTTTAGGAGAGCAATGTTTGATTGTATACATTGCTGGAGGTGAACGTTTGATGTTGGATCAAGTAGAATGGTCCTCACAGATATCAAACCATCTCAAACATGTAGCTTGAGGAGCTTGATCAAGCTGGCTGAGTTCTTCAAAGGCTGTGATGACTGATGAAACCAAGTTGGTGATGGCTGTTTTCAAATCCATTTTGACTTGAAAAGCACTGATTTGTTGGCTTGAGTTTTCTTAAGTACAAACTTGTTCCTTGAAAGTTTTCTTACAAAGGTTTCTTAAGTGGAAACTTGTTCCTTGAAAGTTTTCTTACAAAGTTTTCTTAAGTAGAAACTTGTTCCTTGAAAGTTTTCTTACTAAGTCTTGTTGAGTAGAAACTTATTCTTAATGGTATCACTGAAGATTTAAGAATGGAAATGCTCACAGAATTACCTGTTTATATATTCTCACAAACTGGATCATCCTTTCTGATACCCCTTCCAGGTCCGCTGAGATGTCGCTACCACCACCACCTTGCAACAACCAATCAAATTTTAGTAGCATCTATGCGGCGCGCACGGTTCTCTCTGACGTCATAACCCCTTTCCCACCGCGAATCGTTTCTCCCACTACTCAGTAACAACCAATCGCGATTTTCCACGGCTAATATTATATAAAGACTGCGATTTTCCAGCGATTCACTTCTCACCTTTTCTTCAACTTGGAAGCATCATGGAAATTATAATCGACGTTCAAGCATTTCAAGGTGAAACTTTCATAGCCAAGGAACTGGCTTGGATTACCATTGACCAGGAGATTGAAGAAATATCAAGTACAGTCTTCAAGTCACCTTACTCGTGGAGCTCTCAATCATTACACTACCAGCGACTTAACAAAGCCATTGTAGCTGCTTGTCATAAAATTTCCTGGAGTCAAGGACAAGTTGCTTATGACAAACTCAACCAAGTCATAGACAAAGCAACCGCTGACAAGCAGTTCATATATGTCAAGGGCTTAGAGAAAAAACGCTGGCTACAAAATATTATCAAGTCAAAGACAATTATTGACTTGGAGAACCTGAACTGTCCACCATTGAAAAAACGTCAGGATTATTACTGTAATTTCTGCAGCAAACATGAACAGCATACCGACTTGTACTGGTGTGCTTTAGAGAATGTTAAAAAATTAAGAGAATGGTTTGTTAAAAATTACTGTGGGAATCCATCGCTTGAAAAATCCCTAAAATTATTTTGCAAGTTGAGTATTGAAGATATGAGACCTCAAGATATTGCCATGCTACCTAAATATTTTATTATTGGATGTGCTGCTGACAAAATCAACAGTATCTGGTCAAAATTACCAACAGCTCTTCAAGAGGACAAGGACATCATGAAATACAGACGCTCTAATGAACATTATACAACAACAGCTATTGAATATGATGAATTTTTTAATGATATTCCATTAGTAATTAAGTGTAAATTTTGTAGAAAACAATAAAACGTAATAATTGTAAATTATCAGCTTTTAAATATTTTTTAAAATAAATAAATAATAGTTTAAATTTAAATAAATTTATAATAATAGTTTAAATTTAAATAATTTTTTTTAAAAATAAATTTATAATAATAATAGTTTAAATTTAAATAATTTTTTTTTTTAATTAAATTTATAATAATAGTTTAAATTTATATAATTTTTTTTTAAATAAATTTATAATAATAATAGTTTAAATTTAAATAATTTTTTTTTTTTAAATAAATTTATAATAATATTTTAAATTCAAATAATTTTGTTTAAAATAATTTAATAATAATAATAATAGTTTAAACTTGAATAATTTTTTTAAAATGAATTAATAATAATAATAGTTTAAATTTAAATAATTTTTTTTCAAAATAAATTAATAATAGTAGTTTAAATTTTAATATTTTTTAAAATATAAATTAGTAATATTTTAAATTTAAATACTTTTAAATGGATTAATAATAATAATAGTTTAAATTTGAATACTTTTTAAAATAGTTTAAATTTAAATACTTTTTAAAATGAATTAATAATAGTTTAAATTTAAATATTTTTTCGAATAAATTAATAATAGTTTAAATTTATATATTTTTTAAATAAATTAGTAGTAATTAAAATTTTTTTTTAAATCAATTAGTAATACTTTAAATTTCATCATTCTTTCGAATAAATTAATAATAATATATGTATGTATGTATATTTATTGTTTACAAGATATATACAGTTTCTCGTGTACAACAATCGTTTGAGAGAAGCTAGTATCAGTATTTTACAGTAAAAATATATTAACGAGTAGAATAACAATATATGAGGATATAAAATCAAAGTTGAAGATAAAAATGGGGATAAAGATAAAGATAAAGAAGAGAGAACACTAGTTTCGGATGGCAAAAAAAGTGACTGTAAGTGGCGGGTTTAGGCGCGGCTGGGAGACATACGACGGCTGGAAACTGCTGCGATGAACCTTGTAATATTTTCCATGTCATCTCTGGTGTGAATGTCGAGGATCATCAGTGTACGGAGATTGACTGGGTACGATTCTATGTAGTTCTTTAGGAAGCGGACTCTTAGATCATCGTAGGCTTGGCAGTGGGATAAAATATGGTCCACTGTTTCAGTTTCTTTCTCACATGCTCTACAGGGAGCTTTGGGGGAGAGTGAAAGGCAATGCTCTGAGCATAAGACCCGGCAGTTATGTGTGTTGGCGAGGCGGAGCTGGGTTATCGTTCTGGCTAGGTAGACTGGACATCTTACTCTCAGGTATCTCGGTGTCTCAGTGTTTTCACGCCAGATTAGCTGTAGTTGAAGAGAGGAAGATCGTAGGTAGCTTTCGAAGTCCTGGCGACGTGCCTGATCGGTGATGGCTTTTGTAAATCTTTCCTGGTGCTTCTCCCAGTGCTCAGGATTAAGGTTAGTAAACATGTCGTTTATGCCCACTGACTTAAGAGTGATGTCAAACTTGGCCACCCAGATGTACTTGGTTTGGCAGTTTGGGTTTTCAGTCAGTTTGATGAGGTTGTAGAGGCAAATACGAGGCCATCGGTCTGGACTCATCTTTAGTATTCGAACAATCCATTTCCAGGTTAAAGTCAGTGCTGTTACCGAGAGTCGTACAATGCCTGTTTCCAGTCTGATTATATAACCTGGTGTATTGCGTGGTAGTAGGAGGATCTTCTTGAAGTATTCCGCCTGAGCACGGTCAATTTTTTCCAGGTGGTCAATCCCCCAGGATTCGGCTCCATATAGTATGGTGGGTGCTACCAGGCTGTTAAAGAGTTTATTTCAGGTCTATGCCTTTGGCTTGACCTTTCGGAGATTACCCACTACATCCCTCATGCATACATATCAAAATTTCAAGCAAATTTTTGACATCGGAAGGGCTCAAGGGGAAGAAATTCCCCCTCTGAGCCGCCCCGATAGTCATTTGCCGGCCAGCGCGACTCGACTCGCGGATCGGATTTCCGATTTATGCCTCAGTACGCTATTGTTTCCTGTAGTGTGTACATGTCAAAAAACGTTGTGTAACGTTCGTTTCAAGTTTTAATAATTTAGTATTGAGACCAAATCGTTTAATTACAATGGTAAGTGTACATAATGTTAATTTTCTTTTTAATATTACAGAAATCCAAGAAAAAAAAAAAAAAGAAGCTCGGCTCACCAGCCGCAGCAGCAGCCGTAACGGCTCGTAAGACGCAGCCGAAATGTTCATCGACACGTAAAGGCTGGCGTTTGAGGCTGGGTTTCACACGATGGCTCGGCTCAACCTAGTCGCAGCCGCAGCTGGCGCTAGACGCGAGCGGTTGTGACGTATGGCTGGAGTTCATACTCAGCCTTATTATAGTAGTATCGGTTCAATTAAATTAGCCATACTACAGTTACATTTATTTAAATGTAATAATGCATTTAATTGCAGCTCGCAGACATTCTCTCTCGAACAGAATTATTTGAATATATTTTATCAACAACTTTATGGTCTTCCAGATGGATAACCAAAGTTGGACAACAATGGAGGAGCTTTTGGAGGAGGCAGCGCAGACTGAGGAAGAAGATCGAATTTTGGATCGTTTGAAACTCTTGGCTCAAGAATCATTACCTGTTGGATGGAAAAATTGGAAGACTCTAAATCCGTCAATGGAAGAATTGTTTGGAGCAGAGTTAGAGGTTGATCCGCAGATTTTGAATAAATTGCGTTTCGCTCTGCCGTCTGTAGGAATTGCCAAAGCTTTCAACCCATCAGCAGTAGACCTTCCGGAGAAGCAATACAGAGATTTCAAAGTTAATATGCTGCGTTGGTCTTTTTGTCGTGCCCTCATTATAAGTCCTCCATGCTTGGTTAATAAGATAAAGGGCTCAGCTGCTCAGGCCGCCGAGGAGTTAAAACCTGATAAAGGTGTAGACGATGAGGACTCAGATGACACGGAGAATGAGGA